GTAGCGCAACTTAGCTCTTCCACAGCACACTGGCCAAAGTGGTCCCTAAGTAGCGCAACTTAGCTCTTCCACAGCACACTGGCCAAAGAGGTCCCTGACTAGCGCAACTTAGCTTTTCCACAGCACACTGGCCAAAGTGGTCCTTGAGTAGCCCAACGTAGCTCTTCCACAGCACACTCGCCAAAGTGTGAGTAGCCCAACTTAGCTCTTCCACAGCACACTGGCCAAAGTGGCCCCTGAGTAGCGCAACTTAGCTCTTCCACAGCACACTGGCCAAAGTGATCCCTGAGTAGCGCAACTTAGCTCTTCCACAGCACACTCACCAAAGTGGTCCCTGTTCACCAAAGTAATCCCTGAGTAGTTCAACGTAGCTCTTTGACAGCACACTCACAAAAGTAATCTCTGACTAGTTCAACTTAACTCTTCCACAGCACGCTCGCCAAAGTGATCCTTGTTCACCAAAGTAATCCCTGAGTAGTTCAACGTAGCACTTCCACAGCACATTCACCAAAATGACCTCTAAGTATTGACGCCACATTCACCAATCTGATCCCTGAGTAGCTAAACCTAGCTTTTCCACAGCAAATTCACAAACTGATTTCTAAGTAGGTCATCTTAGCTCTTCCACAGCAACCACAGTTCTTAGTAGCGCAACTTAGCTTCTCCACAGCACATTTACCAAAGTGATTCCAAGGTGGTTGTAGAGTTGCAATGTACTTATCAAGCCAACAACAGCTGCGTTTTTCTCACCCGTAGGCCTGTCGGTTGTTAGGCTTTTAGAACTTCGGACTTCAGTACGCCCGGTCGCCCAACTTAGCTCTTCTATAGCACACTCACGAAGTGGTCTCTGAGTAGCCCAACTTAGCTTTTCCACAGCACACTCACCAAAGTGGTCCCTGAGTAGCTTAGCCCTTCCACACCACACTCGCCAAAGTAATCCCTGAGTAGCCCAACTTAGATCTTCCACAGCACGTTGACCAAAGTAATCCTTGAGAAGCCCAAAGTAGCTTTTTCACAGCACGTTCACCAAAGGAATCCCTGACTAGCCCAACTTAGCCCTTCCACACCACACTCGCCAAAGTAATCCCTGAGTAGCCCAAAGCAGTTCTTCCATAGCACACTCACCAAAGTGATCCCTGAGTAGTTCAACGCAGCACTTCCACAGCATGTTCACCAAAGAGATCCCGGAGTAGCCCAAAGTAGCTCTTCCACAGCACGTTCCCCAGAGTGATCCCTGAGTATTCAAGCTAGCTTTTCCACAGCACGTTCACCAAGGTGATCTCTGAGTAGCCCAAAGTGGCTCTTTCACAGCACGCTCGCCAAACTGATCCCTGTTCACCAAAGTAATCCCTGAGTAATTCAACGTAGCACTTCCACAGCACATTCACCAAAATGACCTCTGAGTATTCACACCACATTCACCAAACTGATCCCTGAGTAGCTAAACCTAGCTGCCTAGCTCTTCCACAGCACATTCACAAACTGATTTCTAAGTAGTTCAACTTAGCTGGTCCACAGCAACCACAGTTTTTAGTAGCGCAACCTAGCTTCTCCACAGCACATTTACCAAAGAGATCGCAGGATAGTTGTAGACTTGTATTGTACGCAGTTTTTTCTCACCCGTAGGACTGTGGGGCTGTTAGATTTTAAGAACTTTGGACTTCAGTAGACTCGCTACTTCTGCACATCCACCAGAGTGGTCCCAGCGTAGCTCAGAGCAACCCAAAGAACACAGCACATCCACCAGAGTGGCCCACAGTGGCCCAGAGTAGCCCTTACACAGCACATCCACCAGAGTGGCCCCGAGTAGCCCGCGTAGCCTTTACACCAGCACATTCACCAGAGTGCTCCCAAGTACCAGTTCCACAGCATATCCACCACAAGTTGACTTGGCAGGGATGTGGGGTTGCCAGGCATTAAAAAATCGAAGTTCAGAAACCTCACAAGTAAGTATTCGATGTGTGGTTTTGTTTTCAATAAAGAATCCTTTTCGCGCCGAACCGCTTTTCTCTTGTGAAGACCAATTCTTTGAGGGTGGGGAATTTCGAAGTAAAGTAATTTAGTTTGAATGATTGAATGATATGCACTATATCACTCAAGGCCCAAGGCCCACCGGGTGATGTGTTGTGGACCATTTATGAGTACAGTACAAGTTGTATCTTGAGCCCCTGGAGGCTGAGGGGAGCTTAAGTCTATGACAATTCATCGTGTAAACAGGTTTTCTTTTTGCAGCCCGCCGGAGTCCGCTGGAGGAGAAGAGGATTGAAAAGCGAACCAAGAGCCTGCCGCCAGTACTGGCAAGGCCCTCGCTATCCAGGACTCGAACCCAGCTTCATCGGTTTCATGATGTTATTTGTGTCCAGTTCTCGTTTGTTTCCAAGCTGCCCGAGCGAAGATCGGATGCTAGGACCGAGATGTACGTGTCTTCCTTGGAATCCCACGCGGATGCTTTGTCCTTCCTTCCGGAGAAGCCTCCGCCTACACCCAACTCCACAGAAGGCAAGGTCTCATAATTTTGTTCAATCGTGTTCATTTGTTTGGACCTGGAGAATGTAGCTTGATCATGTTTTCCCTCCCTGATATTTTTTGAGAATTTTTGAGATATTCTGTGCTTCGTTCAAAGGAACGGCTATGGAAACCGGTGCCACGCAGAACGAGATGCCGCACTCAGCTTTCCCTTCTGCGGGCAGTGTTGGTCATCCAGAATTGTGTCGAAGGCCTTGCATCCTCTTC